TTCTAAAGCAGATTTGTAATCCTGTAAAAGCCCCACCTTTGGCCTCAATCCGGACAAATTTGCAAAAATGCTACCAAAAGAGCATCAAACAGAGAGACTGGAAACAGATCACACAGCATGCGTTATTTGTGAGCGCTTTCCTGCCTCGCTTATTAACACAGCCCGGCTATAAGAACGAGAGCTCTCATTTACAATGACAGCCTGGCGAGAGATGAGGGCCGGCTGACCCATCCAGGCTCCGCCCACAAATGTGTTCAGTTCTGGCTCCTGTTGTGAGTTTGGACAAGCTTTACAGAAAAAGCCCTTTCAGCCTAACGAGACATTGTAGCATAAATTCTTGTGCATTATTCAAACTGGACGACTGTGTTTGTTTAGAGATGCTACATGAATGTTGAGTGTTCAGGTTAAAAAAGCTATGCTAACAAGCTGGACTGTGCTGTTGTAGCAAACCAAGACTAGGCAGGTTGGAAATGCAAGTGATGAATTTGCCACCGTGCTAAAGTTAGCTTGATTACTCATCAAAAAAACTGCTAATGATCCACTGTAACAGTGTGACCTTTCACATGCATACAAAAAAAATGTTGGAATTTAATGATGTACCCTAAAGGTAGGGTTTTTTGACAAAAAATAAGTTACGTAAGCAATATTTTGTGTTATGATTCGGTCGCAGGCACCAGCCAATAAAAGTAAAGCAATGAAGCCTAAATATTCTATCAGATAGCTTTAATATTGGCACTTCCTTCCGCCAGAAAAAGTAGTAGCCTTTTGTGTTATAGAGTAATACTGGACTGTTGCAATATCAGGTTCAGCTCAGCTTTTTTAACATTTGCCAAATTAACCTGATCCCATTTTGTTCCAACCAGTCTGTAAAGCATTTCACAGCCAGTGTTACAATACAACACAACTCAATACAATGCAATACAATCCAACTCAACACAATACAGTACAACTCAATATCATACAATACCATACAGCTCAATATAATGCAATACAGCTCAATACAATACAATATAACTCAATGCAACACAATACAACACAACTCAATACAATACAATACAACACAACTCAATATCATACAATACCATACAACTCAATATAATGCAATACAACTCAATACAATACTAACTCAATGCAACACAATACAACACAACTCAATACAATACAATACAACACAACTCAATACAATACAGTACAACTCAATATCATACAATACCATACAACTCAATATAATGCAATACAACTCAATACAATATAACTCAATGCAACACAATACAATACAATGCAACTCATTACAATACAACACAACTCAATACAATACCGTACAACAATACATCACAATACAACACAACTCAATACAATACAGTACCATACAACTCAATACAATACCGTACAACTCAATACAACTCAATACATCACAAAACAACACAATTTAATACAACACAACACAACTCAATACAATACAACACAATACAGTGCAACTCAGTATAATACAATACAACACAACTCAATATAATAACACCAGCATTCTATAAAGTTTGCCAAACCTTTCCAGGAGTTATTACAAAAGAATGTATTTGTGGGCGGAGCATGGATAGATCAATTCAGTATCATTTATTCATCTTATATATTAGAATAACTCAGGAATTTGTCGTGTTTGGTCACAACATGCCACATTTAATAGTCTCCACATCTAATACTCTGAGTTACTTCATCAGAGAATCTGTCCATTCGGTCTGATCAGGCTCTAGTCTGTTTGCAGTGTAAGACGTAGAGGAAATCCTCAAATGTGTTTCGGATGAAAAAAACAGCAGCTCATTTCAGGTATGCAACCCTCAACTTTTTTAAAATCAATATTTAATGATAAGGTTTTTTCCAAGTTGTTTAGCCGTGTTTAATTAGACCTCTAAGGCCATTATTTATTTACAAAGTCTGAAGTAATTTTAAATCCTAATGGTGCTTTAGAAGAAAAATCGACCACGTCTCTCCTAGACACCTTCAAAAAGATCACTGCATGAAGATCTAGTTTTTGGTTTCGTTTTATTATTATAAGAATTAGAAAGCAGTTTCGGTCATGCAGCCACCCAGAATGCTAGTCTATGTTTGACTGCTGCGTAGTTTGAAATGATGAATATTCATATTGGAAACCTGGACAGGTGTCAGATGCATATTTCACAAAATAGATTTTCACTGCCGTCTTAATGTTCATTTCCTTTAAGACACTTGAATCAAAAAAATAAATAAATAAATAAATAAATATATATAAGTAGAGAAAAACACATCTGATTTTTATTAATATAGTTGTTTGACTTAGGCTTCTTATAACTAATAGTCAAAAGAATAGGCAGAGACAACTAGAAATATATTTATATATTATAAAAGCTTTCGAAAAATTCAATATTATTTACAAAGTTATTTGCTTGATGAAATCACTGATCAGGTAGCTGAGATTTGGCTACCTCAAATCATTGGTTATGCCCATAACCTTACTGTAGGCACGATACCACCTTATCAATATCGATACTAATACTGATACTTCTTCTTGAACACTACTAAGCTTTAACGCTGAACTATGCAAGTGTTTGGGGATTTGGAGACCTCTCTGGTGAAAATGTGTAACTGCACACAGTATGCAGGAGAACATTTTTTAGTGTGGGCTGTGCTTCGGCCCCCTTCCCCAAGGGGATGAATCTGACTATTAAAAGAGAATTCAGAGAGAACTCGGTCTAAACTTGGTGACGAAGCATCGTCTGAGGATGTGAGTGAATTATCTACTATAGTCATCGCATCTTCATCAGTATGATGTTGATTCTGAGATCATTTGAGGTCGAAACATCGAGCCGGACCTTCTTTTTGAGTCTGTGTGTGTGACTTTGATACATAAAGACGTACAACATGGTGTGAAAAACACTCCCTCTGACTTTTAAATGATTATTTAAGGCTTTTCAGACTGCCTCACAGCAGCTCACGCTCACCATATTTTAGCCTGTTTACATTCTCCTCATTCAGTAAATACACTTCTTTCAGGTTTATCAACAGAGTCTTACATAGTGCAGCTTTAAAAGTGAGTTATTTTTAACTGAAGCGTCTAAAAGTAGACTATCACCAGAGATGTTATAAAGGAGAGGGAGACGGTCACTGGTTGGAATATGAATAGAAAAGCTTGTAATGCTAATCACGGCGTCTGTTTGCAGAGAAAGTCTCTACCTTCAGTAAAAGAGCCAATCAGTTTGCTGGTTACGCCACAAGAAGAGAAGTGTCAACTGTATTTAACACATATTTAAAATTTGTTTTTTAAACTGTAATTTGACCTTCAGGTTGGAGTATTTTGGTCTCTCCCCATTCAGAAAGAGAGGAGTCTGGTCTTGTATGGCTGGAAATAACTGCCCAGCAGCGCTGCAAAGATGGCCGCGAAGTGAACGAACTTTAGCAATAGAACACGAGAGGGAGTGTGTTGTCGCGAAATAACATCATGGCTGTGATTTGGTCGTCGTAGATCATCACAGCCGTGATGTTATTGGCGATAACACACTCCTCGAGTGTTCTACTGCTTTTACACAACAGTTAAATAAATAAAGTAATAAATTAATAAACTGGGCCGTGAACGCGGCGTTTAATATGTTTTAATGTTCGCAGTTCCTTCACCAAATTATAGTTCCTTAACGAGCAGCTTATTGCTACGTCAGAGTAACGAGCTCCGCCCACTCGCTGCACAGCCGGTGGTTCGTTCTCCAGCTCCACACAGGACCAACTGACAGTTTGGGAATTTAGTGTAGCCTCATCTTCAGAGTCTGACCAAATCGGCTGTCGGTCAAATGTGATCTTAAAAGTGTCCATTTTCTCTTTGTGCAAAGTAAGAGGTAAAAACGTTCAAATGGCTCGAGCATCTCCTATCAAAGTCGTTGCTTAGCAACGGCGTCTCAGCGGAGTGATACAGTGTTTGTGAAAAACCGTTAGAACGCTTCTCAACCAATCAGCTTGCGTGGCCGGAACTAACTGTTGTATAGTTTCCTATAAGGACTTTGCTATCATGCTCAAACTACTTAAACACTCTGCTAACACACACAGACGACCACACAACACCACACACTGGGATTGAATACTAATTCAGGCCAGACTGGATTGGATTCTTTCTTTTTTCTCTCTAATATCCAAGATGTTTTGCTCGGCCCAATAAGCACTGGCACCAATATACCATCATCATCATCATCATCATCATCATCATCACCTGTAACCCTTTAATCCGTGGTGCCAATATCATCTCTATTTTAAAACTCACAATGCAAATGTTTATGTTGGCCTTGCCAGCTTTTTCTCACCGAGCCTTTCACAAATATTGGCACCCCTGATAAACATAAGCAAAACGGGCTGTAAAAAGCATTTTTTAAATTATATTTCTATTCTATTTTTATTATCAAAATATTAACAAAAATCTAAAGAAGTACAGTGTTTGAAAGACAAAAAAAACTAAATCATATTACAAAGTCAATATTTTTGTGTCCTACAGTTAATTTATTACTTTGTGCAGCCTTTGTGGCTCTATTTAAAACCTTTTTGAAAAGGGTTCTATGTAGCACCAAAAAGGGTTCTGCTATTGTATACAAGCTTGACATCTTAAAAATAGCAGAACCTTTTTTTTGGTGCAGAATCATATACAACACGTTCTCTATTAATCTAAAGAACCGTTTCACCATGCAGAGAGCCATTTAAGCATGCAAATGGTTCTACATAGAACTCATGGATCTAAATACTCTGCAAAAAAATGGTATCTTGTCAAGTAAAAGTATCTTAAATATAAACAATACATCTAAATCTTTAACTTATTTCTAGACATATTAACTTGTTTTAAGTCATTTTATTAAGTAATTTTATCTCACTAGGTTGGCAGATAGTTTAGCTTGTTGTAAGAAATGAGCTTGAAACCAGCAAAATGATCTTCCAGTATCTTCTTTTAGTGCGTATGTCTGCAAAGCACTGACTCTTTCTCTTTCTCTGTTTCTCAGATATTCCATATCCATGAGCAGTGACTTGAGGAAAGTTTTCCGGATTGACCCCCACAATGGGACAGTGTCAGTGGCCAAACCTTTGGACCGAGAGACAGCAGCCTGGCATAATCTCACTGTCACAGCCAAAGAAACGAGTGAGTGGCTGCAGTCTCTCTCTCTCTCTGTCTCTCTCTCTCTCTGTCTCTCTCTCTCTGTCTCTCTCTCTGACAGGGTGGGGTGATGTGGGGAGGGGTGGGGTGATGTGGGGAGTTTATGCTGTGACTGAATGCCAAACCCATTTCTCACTGTAAAGACAGCTTTGAACTCTCAGACTGCACTGCAAAAAGTGGCATCTCGTCAAGTGAAACGATCTTAAATCTAGTCAATAAATCTAATATTCCTTAATTTATGATTGTTTTAAGCTTATTATAAGATTATTTATGTGACACTGGGTTGACTAATCAGACACTCACGGATATAAAATGAACCGCAGGGTTTATTAAAAGGAGGGTTAACAGGGTTTAGACCAGACCAGGTCAAAAACCAGAGCTGCAAAACACGATACATGGGATAAGGCAAAAAAAACAAAGTAGATAAACAAGCGAGGGTCAAACCAAAGAGCCAATAAACAGGTAAACATCTGAAAAACGATGAGAAATGAAACAGAGTCATAAAAGTATAACAGCAAAACAAGAGACATACACAGATGTATACACAGGTAATCAGGTGAAAGCAATCAGTACTCAGGTGACTTGAATCTGCTAGTGGACGGTTGATTGGCTGGTGGAGTCACACGACAAACTGGGGAATCTTGGGAATTGGAGTTCGTAAAGTGGAGTCAGACTGAGAGCCGGGAGATTTTAACTTTGAGTGAGTTTAGTAAGTGAAAGTATCTCACTGTAGATAGATAATCTGTCTTATTAAACACCTCAAAACAAGTACAAGTCTAGAAATAAGTTAGTCTTATTATGAGCTTACAACAATCTTAAAATGGGGAATTTTAGATACATCGACTAGACTTAGAATCATTTCAGTTGACAAAATGCCACTTTTTGCAGTGAGGTAACCATAAACTAATACAGGGACATCTTGGCACGTGGAACTGTCTTAAATCTGGTCGATATATCTAAACTTTTGTGTTTTAAGATTGTTATTATAAGATTAACTTATTTGTAGACGTTGTTACTCGCTGTGTGTGGTTTTAGTACGTCAAAATTTGTCAGATAATTGGGCTTGTTTCAGGCACTTTTCTTACAACAAGCTAATTTATCCTCCAACATAGTGAGATAAGTAGACTTATTAAAATCGTGTTCGGTTTTGTTTTGACTGTGTGCTGCAATGTGCAAACCTACAGTTCCTCACAAGACATCAGAGGCTACAATTAAGAAGAAACATTATGCTCATTGACTGTATATAAGATATATGATATCTATACTCTCACTGAATATATTATGTGACTTATATAGATATGCTCATTGACTGTATTCATGATACATATCGCTGTCAGAACAAAACCTTCTATCTCCATTTTTGTAGTTTTTCAGTTTTTGACGTATAAAATGTTGCCCTTTACATTGTGTGTAAATTTCATAATGAATGGACCAAAAGAAACGACCCAAAATGACTTGGACAAAATGTCTGGTTCCATTGACTGACATTAAAGGTAAAGTATGTTTCTTCCTTCTTCTGTAAAGTTACTATTTTTGGAGATCTGAGGTTTTGTTCCGACAGCAGCGATATGAAAAACACTTTTCTTGACTATATATATGGTATATATGATATAGACACTCATTGACTGCATATATATGATATGAGATAAACACTCATTTACTGCATATATGATATATATATATCCATCCATCCATCCATCATCTAAACCGCATATCCTTCTGGGTTGTGGTGGGGTGCTGGAGCCTATCCCAGCTATCCCAGACAGGTCGCCAGTCCATCGCAGATATTATATATATATATATATATATATATATATATATATATATATATATGCTCATTATTGGTAATTGGTATATATAATATATACACGCATTCACTGTATATATGGTATAGGTGACTTATACACTTGTTGACTGTATATGTGATATATATGATATGATATGATGATATGTACACACGTTGGTGATAAACCGTTCTCTCTGTGGAAATCGCATGAATTTCATTCATTACGGGTTACATGAAACTTCCATTCACACAATGAAAATCCAGTTATTGAATTATTGAAAGCAATAATTTTATTGATTCTAATAATTCTAATGAACACTACTTTGTCGATTCATATAGCCATAACAAAATGCACTGCTTTATAAATGGGAGAAAAAGCCTTAAAGACAAATGTTATTAACTATACAAAAGAATGCAGTTAATTAATTTAATCATTTTATATCTGTATGAATAACATCATTACATTTAAATGGTATAGCAAAATGGCAGAAATAACTCTTTGGGCTCAAACATTTGTTTATGTTTTTAAATGTGATATAGTATTGATTTATTGATCAGGAAGACCATATTTTTACATCTGTAACATGAATTAATGCACCCTGGTTACAAATAAATCTCTGTCTGCCATATTTATTTATATATTTCAGAGGAAAATCAACTCTCCTCTACAGTGTCTGTGGCCATCAAAGTCCTGGACATCAATGACAACATACCGACTCTGTCCCAGGACTACCAGCCCTATGTGTGTGAGGGCACACAGGCTGGAGAGGTGAGGTTTAGTATCACACTCACACACACACACCCACCCACACACACCCACACACCCAACGTTCTAACGTTATTGGAAGAGCACACAGGGGACAGACTCGTAGAAGTGCAGGTTTTCTGCTGTTTTAAGAGAAGTCTGTGTGAGTATCCAGTGGATTTTCCACTCAGACCTGCACGCAGTCAAGCCCTGCACTTCTGAGGAGCTGCTTCACTCAATAGGCCACAATTTGGCAGCACAGAAAAGCAAAGCCAAGGATGAATGGCCACTGCGGGGGGGATGGAGTCCAACACCGGCCCACTCGGCTGTGAGCTCCGAGAAGCACTGCGAAAAGGTTGTTCGTACTTTGTCAGGCTAAGCCCCGCGGGTTCGGCCGGCGAGAGCTGTAGACTTCACTTAAGCCTCCGTCTCCCAATTTATATTCTAGGTGTTACTAGAACGCAGCGCGGCAGACCTTGTCTTCAAGCTGCAAATGATCAATTAGGGCAGACCTGGAGGACGGGGCGTGGGCTGGGGTTCAGGATCAATAGCATGCATGCACCCCTGGCAGGGATCTCGCCGCGTTTATCTCACGATCGGCTTGTTCTGCGCTAGCCGTGTGGATAAAGGTGGAAGATCCATATCATATCAAGGTCAAGATAAACAATACAGTCTCAGGCTAAAGCTTACATGTGTACACATTTGTGCATGGAGATAAATGCTGATGAACCTCGGTTGGCAGTGAGATTCTTTTGATAAAGCAGTACCGTTCGCTCCCCAAGCTTTCAGCTACGGTCTGCCATATGTTTTCTTTAACCTCTGCCGTTTTATAGTCAACATGGTGCTTGTTGTATGAGCTTTTGTGCTCCGCCAAACTCTGCTGCTATCAAGAAGCACATTTGCTTTGACTGCAACCCTGACAACAGAGTTCTGACTGTTCGCCTGATTTTAGTGCTTATGCACAATTGAGAACACTGGGTCTCGTTCATCGACCGTTCTTAAGAAGAAATTTCTTCTTAAACTCACTTACGCAGTTCTGTAGAAGACTCTGACTCACCAGTGTTCTCTATGTGGGATTTGTTCTTAGGTAAGAACAGAATCTACTCACTCAAGAGCACAAAGGTGAGAAGAGTTCTGCGCTTTAAGAACACGTCATGAATCTGACGGAGACTTTTTCTTAGGATCTTCCTCAAGAACACACTTAAGAACAAACTTAGGAAGATACTGGAGAATGAGGCCCAATAAGGCTACAGTTAAACATTTTACACAGTGTCACCGACATTTATAATGTACTCCTTTTTTCATATTTGAAAATTAAACTTTGGATAGACTGGCTTGACAAACAACTCAGACTCACACCCCAATGACTCAGACTCTCATCCCAAAGACTCAGACTCGCACCCCAATGACTCAGACTCTCATCCCAAAGACTCAGACTCGCACCCCAATGACTCAGACTCTCATCCCAAAGACTCAGACTCGCACCCCAAAGACTCGAGACCCGGCTCAGACTCTCAGCTCGAAGACTCAGATTCTCATCCCAAAGACTCAGACTCGCACCCCAAAGACTCGAGACCCGGCTCAGACTCTCAGCTCAAAGACTCAGACTCTCATCCCAAAGACTCAGACTCGCACCCCAATGACTCAGGCTCTCACCCCAAAGACTCAGACTCACACCCTAAAGACTCGAGACTCGGTTCAGACTAACGCTCCACAGACTCAGACTTTCAGCCCGAAGACTCAGACCGGCACCCCAAATACTCAGACTCGCACCCCAAAGACTCAGACTTGCACCCCAAAGACTCGAGACTTGCCTCAGACTTGCAGCCCAAAGACTCAGACTTGCACCCCAAAGACTTGAGACTTGACTCAGATTTGCACCCCAAAGACTTAGACTCACACTTCAAAGACCCAAGACTCAACTCAGACTCACACCAAAAAGACTCGAGACTCGACTTAGACTCACACCCCAAAGACCTGAGTCTCGACCCAGACTCACACCACAAAGACTCATGATTTGACTCAGACTCACACCCCAAAGACCTGAGACTCGACTCAGACTCGCACCACAAAGACTCATGATTTGACTCAGACTCACACCCCAAAGACCTGAGACTCGACTCAGACTCGCACCACAAAGACTCATGATTTGACTCAGACTCACACCCCAAAGACCTGAGACTCGACTCAGACTCGCACCACAAAGACTCGTGATTTGACTCAGACTCACACCCCAAAGACCTGAGACTCGACTCAGACTCGCACCACAAAGACTCGTGATTTGACTCAGACTCACACCCCAAAGACCTGAGACTCGACTCAGACTCGCACCACAAAGACTCATGATTTGACTCAGACTCACACCCCAGAAACCCGAGACTCGACTCAGACTCGCACCCCAAAGACTTGAAACAGACTTGAATAAAGTAACCTGAACATCGCTGGTTTGCAGTAACACATTTGTTTCTTTGTGAAGCTCATCCAGATGATCAGTGCTGTGGACGCAGACAACCCAATGGAAGGCCATCACTTTTATTTCTCTATGGTGCCAGATAAACACATCAACCCCAACTTCACCATCAGGGACAACCAAGGTGCGGTACATCATGAAAATAAAACAAACAAAATCATATCATATGATGTTGATATGTAAGGTAACTCAATTATGTTGTAAAGTAAATGAATATATTACACATGTATAAACATCCTATTCAAAGTGCACTGCAGGTCATTAAAGTGTTTGTTGTCCAACCTTGCTTCTTTAGTTTCTCAGCTAATGCAAACTAATGCAGCTAATATGTAGTAATAAAACCCAATTACTATCATGGAAACTGCTTCGCTCAGTGATCACAGACTCAAATCAAACTGTGTCTCTTGTTAAGCACAACTTTTTGTTATATGTTCTGACATATTTATTTATTTCTAGACATGCATAAATGTATATCACATAGCTTAAAAAGTAGTAGTATCTTAAGCCTGAATCGTGTTGGCTATTTGTACAGCATATCACACAGTGATAGAAATAAAATAAGCAAGTCTGTTTGTGATTACTTTACAGATCAAGATATACTATATAGACAAAAGTATTGGGACACTCCTCTTAATTATTGAGCTCAGGTGTTTGAGCCACACCCATTGCTAAAAGGTGTACAACATTAAGCACACAGCCTTTCAGTCTCGATAGGCAAACACTGGCAGTAGAGGGTCGTACTGAAGAGCTCAGTGACTGTAAACATGGCTCTGTCATAGGATGCCGCCTCTGCCACAGTCAGTTTGTGAAACTTCTGTCGTGCTAGATCTGCCCCAGACAACTGTAAGTGCTATCATTGTGAAAACGAAGCATCTAGGAGCAGCAACAGCTCAGCCACAAAGCGCTAAACTCACAGAGTGGAGCCACCGAGTGCTGAAGCGCAGAGTGTCTATCCTCTGTTGAATCATCACTAAAGATTTTCAAATTGGCCCTGGAAGCAACATCAGCAAAAGAACTGCACATTAGGAGCTTCACAAGATTGGTTTCCATGGCTGAGCAGCTGCACACAAGCCTTACATCACCAAGCACAATGCCAAGTGTCGGATGGAGTGGTGTAAAGCGCCACCACTGGACTCTGGAGCAGTGGAAACGTGTTCTGTGGAGTGACCAATCAGCTTCTCTATCTGTCAGTCTGATGGACGAGTCTGGGTTTGGTGAATGCCAGGAGAACGTTACCTGCCTGACTGCACTGTGCCAGCTGTACAGTTTGGTGGAGGAGGGATGATGATATGGGGCTGTTTTTCAGGGGTTGGTCTAGAACCCTTAGTTCCAGTGAAGGGAAATCTTAATGCTTCAGCACCAAGACATTTAGAGAATTCCACACTTCCAACATTGTGGGAACAGTTTGGCGAAGAACCTTTCTTGTTCCAGCATGACTGAGCCCCAGTGCACAAAGCAGCTCCATAAAGGCCTGACTGGGTGAGTTTGGTGTGGAAGAACTTGACTGGCCCTCACAGAGCCCTGACCTCAACCCCATCACACACCTTTGGGATGAACTAGAATGGAGATTGGACCAGACCCTCTCGCCCAACATCAGTGTCTGACCTCACAAATGCTTTTCTGGATGAATGGACACAAATTCCCACAGACTCTCTCCAACATCTTGTAGAAGCTTCCCAGAAGAGTGGAAGCTGTTAGAGCTGCAAAGGGGGACCAACTCCATATTGATGCCTATGGATTTAGAATGGGATTCATAAAAGCTCCTGTAGGTGTGATGTGGAGGTGTCCCAATACTTTTGTCCATGTAGTGTATATACTGGCGTAGACATTATGCTAACAGGCAGCTATAAGCTTCCATTACATATTAGTTTCTTTAGCCTCCAACACAAAACAAAAAAAGCAAATGTGTCTTGGCTACTGACTATTGACAACATGTGCAGAGGAAGATCATGTAAACAAACCATCACTTTAACTACTTTTTCTCACAGACAACACAGCGAGCATCCTGACGCGTCGTAGCACGTTTACCCGTCGCGACCGGGTGCTGTATCATCTCCCTGTGGTCATAATGGACAGCGGCTCTCCTGCCCTGTCCAGCACCAGCACCCTCACCATCAGCGTGTGTGCCTGCCAGCCTGCAGGACACTGCCCATCAGGAGGAGTTGAGGCACTGGCCCTTTCTATGGGCCTCAGCACACAGACCCTACTGGGCCTGTCTGTGTGTCTCATCATGCTCATAGGTGAGGAATTATGGGTAATGTAGTCCATTGCAAGCAGTATTGGCCTGTCGTAGACCTCTGAGGTTGTGCATCCTTTTGTAGCTATCAACATGTCCAGCCGTTGTTGTATATGGGAAAAAATAAACTGCCTCTATTGCAGTGGTTCCTAACCCTGGTCCTGGAGGACCCCCTGCCCTGAACATTATAATGGGGTTCCTGCTCCCAACACATCTGATCCAATTAATCAGCTAATTAACAAGCTCTTCATGAGTTGAAGTGGGTGCGTTTGGGCAGGAAAACACAAAAATGTGCAGGGCAGGTGGTCCTCCAGGTCCAGGGTGGGGAACCACTGCTCCGTTGCATGCTGTGGTAAACAAAAATGCACCAAAGCTAATCATTTTTATTCTACATACATTGTTCTCCAGTTATTACTGGATCCTCTGAGTTGTGAGGTTCTGTAAGAAGTTGAAATATGAATATTGCTAATATTGCATTTAATTTATGTCACTAAGATACACGAAAGTACTACTATAACTATATACAACTTCAGCACCAGCTACTCAAATTGTAGCCCAGTACTGCCTGAGCCAGTTAAAGGGCCTAAAACGAGAGTTTACTGTGTTATTTATCGTGTTACGCTGTATTCTGTAGTGCAGCATTATCTCCCTCAGCCTCACTGGTTTGAAAGGATTTTATATTATTTTTATGATTTGATTCATCAATGTACGAAAACAAAAATACCCAGCAGGAAGTATATAAATTCATCATAAAACCATTGGAAATCCCAGTGGTGTCAACCAATCCTGACTGCTAGCTTAGCCACTGATCTGTCAGCTAATATATACAACCAGGCTAATATAAGTGTAGCTCTTACCTTTATCACTGAAAAGAGCAGTGATTCTATCTTTATTCAGTGCAAAATGGATGTCAGAGACCCTTTTTTACCATTTCAGTCAGAGAAAAGAAACCAAACTGTGTTAAGATATCAAGATAAGCGGACAGCCACGTTGCTAATGCAGTAGTTTATATTAAGTAAACTATTAAAAAAACATAAAGTCTACAAAAGCTTGTTGTTTTTATCATTTTATCAGTGCACCTCAGCCACTAAAGGGAGGATGCCAGTAAATTATATATATATATATATATATATATATATATATATATATATATATATATATATATATTATGTACAACGCCTTCCACAAATATTTGCACCTTGATACGCATGAGCAAAATAGGGCTGTAAAACATTATTTTGCTTATTCTTTTGATCTTCTATTTAAAATATCACTAGAAAGCTAACCTTTATTTGAAGTACAACGACTGAAAAAAAACCTAAAAAATCTAGAAAATCCTCCTGAAATAAATATTTCTCTCAAATCGATTTATGCCACAATTGTTGACACCCCTAAAATTTTTTATAAGGGAAATTTAAAATTCTCATTCAGATTTTCTCTTTTAAAGTTCAGCTCACGGAAGGAAAGTTAAATGGTCCGTGATGACTTCCTGTTTCACTGGGGTATAAATATCAGCTGACACACAGGCCAAATTCCCTCAGTTATCCATCACTATGAGAAAGACCAGAAAATACAGCAATGATGTGTTGAATTGAATAAAATCAGGAAATGGCAACGAGAAAATAGCTAAGAAGTTTAAAGCAGCTGGAGATGTTAAGAATCTGCAGGGAAGAGGACGAATGTCTTTACTGACCCCATGCTCAGTGAAGAGGATGGTTCAATTGGACAAAGAATCTCCAAGGATCACAGCTGGAGAACTGCAGACGTTAGTTAGGTCTTGGGGTCAGAGTGTGTCCCAAACTACAGTCAGATAAAACCTACAAAACCTACAGAACCACAAGTTGTTTGGGATTGTTTCTAGAAGAAAGTCTGCAGTGCCAGATGTTAATGTAACTTTCAGTGGGACCGTGTTCTGTGATGAGATGACCAACACAGAACTTTTTGGCAGCATACCCCAGAGGTGGTGTAAGGGTCCAGCCTGTGCCGCCGGCCGCCAGCAGAGGGCGACAGTGACAAGGTGCCACAAGTTCAGGGAACTCTAATTCCCAGAAGACCTCGGACTGATTAGGCCCAACCTGGCACACCTGTGGACTCCTCTATTTAAGGCTGTGGCAAACAGCAGCACTTTGTCACACCTTTGTAGAAGGGTGACCGGTAGGGTACTTAGCCCAGGTGGGTATTTAGGTATTTAGAGGAAAGGAAAAAGAAAAGAGGGCTGAAAAAAAGAGAGATGTTGCCCCAAAACAACAGAAAGAGGAAAAAGGGGGCTAAAAGGGAATAAATTGCCCCAAAACTACTTAAAAGCCAAAAACAAGGCTTAAACAAGAAACGGCTGCAAGCCAAACAAAAAGTGTTTGTTCCACAAAGTTTCACAAACAGGTGAAACATAAAGCTGATCTTCCTCTCCAAATTACAGAGGAAGTGTTTTTTGCTTTCTGATTATTTTTTATTTTACTTTTCTATCTCGGCCTTTGTTTGAGCGCTGCTTTCAGCGTCCCCTTTGTCTGCCCTTTCCCGCCATTTTTTCCTCGGACCACCTTTAGTACATTGACGGTTTGAGCCTGGCTCTGAGCCACCTCATCCCAATGCGCAGAATCACTCCATTCACACTCCATCACCTCATTAACTCACTGCACTTGTGTTCCGCCTCCATGCCATCCCGTAACGGGTGGGTTTAGTATAGACACAAAGATGGCCATGCAGACAAGTTCCTCCTCCTCTCTGTGAAGCATGGTGGTGGATCTTTGATGTCATGGGACGGTTTTTCTTCCAAAGACCCTGGACTACTTGTTTGGATCACAGATTCTATGAAGTACCAGCTGATATGAAATCAGAACCTGACTGCCTCAGCCAGGAAGCTTTAACTGAGCTGCGTTTGGATTTTCCAGCAAGACGATGATCCAAAGCACATCTCAAAATCAACACAAAAATAATTCACTGACCATAGAATCAAGGTTTTGCCATGGCCACCCCAGCCCCCCTGACCTACCCCATAGAAAACCTATGGGATGAAGAGCTGAAGAGGAGAGTCCACAGTGCGGACCTCAGAATCGGAAGGATCTGGAGAGGTTCTGTGTGGAGGAACGGTCTCAGATCCTGTTCTCAAGTCTCATTAAGTGTCAGAGGAGAAAACTCAGAGCTGTTATCTTTGCAAAAGGAGGCGCATAAAGGATTAAAGAGGGGCCAACAATTGAGGCACACACAGATTTAAAATATCATTTATTTCATGGGAGATTTAGTTTTTTCCAATCACTGTATCTCAAATGATGGTTAGAGTTTTATTAATATTTTGAATCAAAGTTGAAAAGGATCAGCAATAAAGAGTTTTATTACAGTCCATTTTGCTCATGTTTACTAGCGGTGCCAATAATGTAATACCTTAAATATGTAGCAATATTTCGACTGCTTAATGACCTTGTAATTCAAATAACACAATCATATTCGGGAGGACAAAACATATCAGCTTTAGCCACAGATTGCAATATGAGCGCTATGTGAATATGTTCCCACAGACAGCACCAGCCAAGCTCCAGCGCTGGTCAGGATGTTAATGACAAGGTACAAAAATATGGCACGTCCTCAGAGGTCTATATGGGGGTTTCTCAGTTCTATGACAAGAACCTGTGGAGATGCATGTGAACAGAACTAAACAAAATAGGGAAAATTACAAAGTGCTCTTTTTCAACAGAGAGCTTGTGACAGTGCAAGCTAATTCGGTTCCTCTTCACATCAAGCAGGCAAGTATAAACAGAGTGGATATTTCACCAGCTAATCCATCCTCATCCTCGAGTGTACTCACAGCGTGGTCCTAACATGGATTCAATGATGCTGAATGACTGCTTCATAATAATGATGCTATTTCCTGAAGTGTGTACAAGTGAGAACAACAGTACAATATTCAAACAACACTGATCATCACGTTATTATAATTACATGCATAAAAGAAATGCATTTTACAATGATCAGGCATAACATCATGACCACCTCCTTGTTTCTACGCTCGTTGTCCATTTTATCAGCTCCACTTACTATATAGGTGCACTTTGTAGTTCTACAGTTACAGACTGTAGTCCATCTGTTTCTCTGATACTTTGTTACCCTGTTCTTCAGTGGTTAGGACCCCCATGGACCCTCACAGAGCAGGTACTATTTGGGTGGTGGGTCATTCTCAGCACTGCAGTAACACTGACGTGGTGGTTGTTTGTTAGTGTGTGTTGCGCTGGTGCGAGTGGATCAGACACAGCGGTGCTGCTGGAGTTTTTAAACACCTCAGTGTCACTGCTGGACTGAGAATAGTCCACCAACCAAAAATATACAGCCAACAGCGTCCTGTGGGCAGCGTCCTGTGACCACTGATGAATGACCAACACAAACTGTGCAGCAGCAGATGAGCTATCGTCTCTGACTTTACATCTACAAGGTGGACCGACAAGGTAGGAGTGTCTAATAGAGTGGACAGTGAGTGGACACAGTGTTTAAACACTCCAGCAGTACTGCTGTGTCTGATCCACTCAGACCAGCGCAACACACACTAACACACCACCACCACGTCAGTGTTACTGCAGTGCTGAGAATAATCCACCATCCAAATAGTACCTGCTCTGTGAGGGTCCATGGGGGTCCTGACCACTGAAGAACAGGGTAAAAGGGGGCTAACAAAGTATGCAGAGAAACAGATGGACTACAGTCTGTAACTGTGGTCATGATGTTATTCCTGATCGGTGTGTGTGCTATTTTTATTAAATGAAAACGTTAATAAAATATATTGTACAGTTTGAGACAAGGAGAATGATGAGCTGTAATCTGTGAGTGATTTTAGTTTCTAAAGGGGTTTTTGACCCTCTGCTTTGCACAGTTCTGTGTTTTTTTTCATGTCTGATCCAGCTGATCAAGTAATTATCAAATCTTTCATCATTAAACGCTTGAACTGTGCTGGTCCAATGGGAAACGTAGCGCTTTGCAGGGCCGCAGGTCATCAGCACTGAGTTTCAGAACACCTGCTCCACGATGACTGAAATGGAAGTTGTTGTTGGGTGAAAAACATCTAATAAATCTAATAAGTTCACCACTCATTCAACCACATATGGTTGAATGATTAACGCAGGTCTAACACTGCTCACACAGATTTCCCCTCACCTCAAACGGAGTGGTTAATTCAGTGCTGGACCTCGTCTGGGGGTCCCTCTTCTAAACCACAACTCCATCCTCTGCCAAAGTAGCATTAAACTTTCATCCTTAATTCTTCTTCAGATCATCTGCTGTTGATCATGTTCATCCAGCAGTTCTTCCATTATACTGTTAAAAAGTCTCACCTTAGGGTTTAGCTTTTCTACATAGTGAGGAAACCAGGGAGGTGGGGGGTTGGGGGGGCGGGGGGCTGAGGGGGCTGCAGCACTCCCTGATTTCAAGATTGCAACTGCTAAAAATAATAATAAAACATTCTGAACTTTGTTATAATCTGAACGTAGTAAAGACCCAGGTGTGCTTGTTTTGGAGCAGTGTTCATATTTTTATATAAGGCAAAAATAAAAAATAACTGGCTCAGTATCCAGTTTCTGTTTGGTACTTTAAGTCTTTGGGCGTGAAATGGTTAAATCACTACTGCGGCAGTCGGAGGCGGGTAGGCATGTTTACATCAGATGTAGGAATAAGTTAAATTTATCGCTTAAATTTTTATTTTGGTCAGAGTGCAGCTTTAAATAATCTCAAATAAACATGCACAAGACTTCATAACACTGAATGACACACTGTTATCTACACTCGTATGCAAATGTTTGGGCAGCCCTGGTCAACTTTCCCTCTACATAGAACACACCTCTGCACATTTTAATACACAATTACTGCAATTTGCTGATTTTTATCATATTGAGGAAAAAATAAATAACGTTACATTTTATGCTTTTTCCCAATATGTTATAAATGTATAGCAAACAAATAGAAATTGTGCACAAAAATTTACAGATAAAATCCCACATTTTAAGGGCAGCACAGTGGAGCAGTGGGTAGCGCTGTCGCCTCACAGCAAAAAGGGCCTGGGTTCGATTCCTGGCCAGGTGACCAGGGTCATTTCTGTGTGGAGTTTGCCTGTTCTCCCCTTGTCTGTGTGGGTTTCCTCCAGGTACTCCGGTTTCCTCCCACAGTCCAAAAACATGCAGTCAGGCTGATTGGACATGCTGAATTGCCCCTAGGTGTGAGTGTGTGTGTGTGTGTGTGAATGTGTACGTCTGTCTGTCTGCCCTGCGATGGACTGGCGACCTGTCCAGGGTGTATCCTGCCTTCCACCCAATGACGGCTGGGATAGGCTCCAGCACCCCACCGCGACCCAGAAGGATAAGCGGTTTAGATGATGTATGTATGTATGTATGTATGTATGTATGTATGTATCCCACATTTAAGTTCGTTCCACGTAGAGGACGTGTCTTATCTTGATGTCTGGGCTGATCATCAACATTTAGTGTAAGGTTAAAAAAAATCAGTGAATGACCACTTCAAGCTCTAAAAATGTTGATCTGTATTAAAGAAGCATGTCTGTCCATCTGTTCCATCTCGCAGTGCTGTCCTTACTAATGCTCGCAGTGTGGAGACACAGGAAGCTGGCGCAGCAGAAGCTGGCTGCCCAGGAGCTGGACACAGAGGAGTATCATGAGAAAGTTGTACACTACGCCGAGGTCAACGCTGGTCAGGATGTAGCCGTCTCCTCCAGCCAGCCGGTCCCGCTGAGGCCCCACCCGCGGCGCCGCGAGCGCAGACTCCGCAGGGAGGAAGTGACCGCCAGCATTCGCATGTCCCTCCGACACTCGCATATCATCGGGCCCGAGGACGAGGTCTTCCGGCAGTTCATCATGGACCGGCTGGCCGAGGCCGACGAGGACCCCTACGTGCCGCCGTTTGACTGCCTGCGTACGTACGCCTTCGAGGGGACGGGGTCACTCACTGGCTCCCTGAGCTCACTGGAATCCTCGACGTTTGACCCCTGTGTGGATCGACCCCATGACAGCGGGCAGCGTTTCATGAGACTGACTCCGTGGCAAGGAGCTGGAGAGGATGAGACGTCGTTCTGAACTGAGGAGAAATCATTTACAGTGTATTAGTGGCACCTGCCTGCTACCTGGCCATTTTATCAGAAACACCTGCTATACAGGGTGTACAATTCATCAGCCACATTGTGCTTCATTCCATCAACAGTAGCGGACCCCTGGTAATGGACCACCATGCTAGTGTGTGTTGTGCTGGTATGAGTGTATCATAGTGTTGATGGGCTCTTTTTTCTAAATAGCACCAAAAAGGGTTCTATTGTTACAGGCTTGACATTAGAACAATTCTTCCATTATATATATATATATATATATATATATAATATATATATATATATATATAGAACCATGAACACTCAAAGAACCCTTGAACACAGATGGGGAATGTGTTTTATAGGGCTCTATATATCACCAAAAAATGTTGTTCTATTGTTACAGGCTTGATATTGTAACAATAGAAGAATGCTTTTGGTGCTGTATAGAACCATCTTCAAAAAGGTTTCATATAGAACCATCTACAGCATGTTTTGCATCATTAAATGGTCCTTCAGACTGATGGAGAACGTGCTGTAGATGGTTTTATATAAAACCTTCTTAAAAATGGTTCTATATAGCACCAAAAAGGGTTCTATTGATCTGATGTCAAGCCTGTAACAACAGAAGAACCCTTTTTGGTGTTATATAGAGCCCTATAAAACACATTCCCCATCTGTGTTCAAGGGTTCTTTGAGTGTTCATGGTTCTATATAGAGTGCAGTGTGCTATTCTCTTACTAAAGCTTAGGTTTGGATCAATTTTATATGTTGTTTGTATTAAATGCCATGATGGTGTTTTGTGTTAAGATTCACCAGTTCAGCCTGTTCAGGCCTTTTCCACAGGAAATGGAAATACATAAAGGCCAGTCAAAACAAATTTGAGGATGTGTCCAGAATTGTTGGAGAACACCAAACACACAATAAGAGTGTCCAAACTGAATACAGAACATACATCTTTGCATCTGTCAGAACATCAGCTAACCTCTACAGAGTGATAGAAAAATGCATAAGAGAAAATAACTATAATCAAAATGCTAGACCAGCTATGTTAGCTGGAGATGCTGGAACAGCTTGCTAACAACAAACTGATTCTTCCTCATCAGCTGAGAAAACTGCCTTCAAAACTGTGGTGATGTTGTTGTTTTTGCATTTTTCAAACTCAAACGCTTGTTATCTGTAGTAACTCTTACTCTAGGGCTTGTTTTTTAGCGTAAGCAGCTAAACCCAGCACAAACAGAAATGGGGAAAATCATACAGGTACATTGTGACAGTTTTCATCTGTTCATCAGGAGGTGGTGGGTTTGAATCGCACCAGTGCCACAACCAGAACAGCACAAATCTATCAGAGCAATACCAGATAATATGCTGATATCAGTCCATATTATAGGCCAGCTGATATTGGTTGGGCCCTATTTTCCATGCACGATCTGTGTTAGTCATCCTCCAGACCAGCAGACCTCAATCTGTTTTAGTCTAAGGCCTCCCAAAGAACCTTGACTTACCAGAAACTTCTCAGTTTTGCTAACTTTCTCTGCTGCTATCACTGACCCTGTTCTGTGGCATTACTAACTAGTTAAGTTACCAAAGGATGGATATAAATTGTTATTAATTAGCACATATTTAATTTGAATTACATTTATCCAGCATTAATAAACAAGGACTACTTTTTTAGATATGAACCAAGCACAGTAGAGCTAGACCTTCTGAGATTCTCACTACTACACTCTCTTTAAGGGTTCTTTCGTAAAGACAATGGTTCCATATAGAACCATGCACACTCAAAGAACCCTTTGCATGCTTAAAGGGTTCTTTGCATGGTAAAACAGTTCTTCAGATTGATGGCGAATATGTTGTATATGGTTCTATATAGCACCAAAAGGGGTTCTTGTATTGTTACAAGCTTGACATCGGAACAGCAGAAGAACCCTTTTTGGTGATTTATAGAACACTTTTTTCAAAAAGGTTCCATATTGAACCATCTACAGCATGTTTTGGATCATTAAATGGTTCTTCAGACGGATGGAGAATGTGCTGTATATAGTTTTATATAGAACCTTTTTGAAAACAGTCCTATATAGCACCAAAAAGGGTGTTATATAGACTTGCATTCATAAGAGCCATGGCCTTGTTCTATGACATGGCAGATAACTAGTTAGGTGACCACAGGATGGACATAAATTGTTATTAATTAGCCAAAATTAATAACAATTTAGCATTCACCATTTAAAAACAAGGACTACTTTTTGAATATGACCCAAGCACAGTAGATAGACCTTCTGAGATTCTCTGCGTCCCCTACACTCCTAAAGATGGCTCTTCAAGGGTTCTTTCGTAAAGACAATGGTTCCATATAGAACCATGAACACTCAAAGAGCCCTTTGCATGCTTAAAGGGTTATTTGCATGATAAAACAGTTCGTCAGATTGATGGCAAATATGTTGTATATGGTTCTATAGAGTGCCAAAAGAGGTTCTGCTGTTGTTACAAGCTTGATTACAATAGCAGAAAGCTTTTGGGTGCTATACAGAACCATATTCAACCTGAAGATCCATTTGAAGAGTGTGGTTTGAGAACTGCTGCTGTAGACCTTCCTCAGTGCTCAGTGCTGGCCTGTTCTGGTAACACAATCCTCTCATTTTGCTGTCTTCGTCTGATGAAGCTTCAACTCACACCATCATTGTTTGAAGTGTCCAGAAGCATGATGGTCCACTATCCAAATAATATCTGGTCAGTGGTGGACCTTTATTGGTCCCTTTCCACTGACGGATGAGCAGAAGAGTGTGTGAAAAGCTGTGCAGCAACAGGTGGGCTTCAGGAACTGTAGACCTACAAAATGTACCTATATGGTGGGTGTTTCTGATAAAATGGCCAATGAGTCTAGCTGTACCTTATAAACTGTAGAAGCGAGACTTTATTCAGCCTGAAAAGAGTGGACTGAGTGTTTTAATGCAGACACATGATCCTGGACTATTTTAGTGGTCTGAATGAAGAGTCAGTTAAGTATTAGTCTCTAATATCCAGCTATTTATATTTGAAAGTGTATCACTGAACTTAAGTACGGTCTAATTGCTGGAGTCCTTTGATTGTTTGAGACAAGCTTGACTGTACAGTCAGGTTCTTAAAGGGAACACTTTATTTTTGTGCTGTTCTGTTTTGATGCTTTTGCATTTGTCAGATAAATATGCATATATGTGTAGACAAATCTCTGCCCTATTTTATTTGTTAATTACAAAGAGGTTCAGAATGATTGTTCTGGGTGTTGTGACCTGAGAAGTGTTCTGATCTCCGTATTTCTATTGTAGGACTATGAGGGAAAAGAGAGAGAGATGCAGAGAGAGAGAGAGACACGAGAACTGAATAGTATTGAATTCATTTCAGCCCAAGCGATTGTCCTGGGCATGAACAATGGGCTCTGAATGCACTGCTGAAAAAATAGTGTGGCTTATGACAAAGCCCTGCAGCACACCATCATCATTTAAAGGGCCCACCATATTATAAGCTGAATCATTTCTCACTTTCTTATTAAAGAATTTAATGTAATATGTAAACTATGATAGTCAAAATGGTCCATATGTGACAATGAAGCTGTAAAAAAACAGCTCAATTTGAATTTATTGTTTCTGTGATGTCATACATGCATATCGTAGTGTACAAAAATCAAAGACTCCTCTCATTTATTTAATTTCATTCATATTTTTCAGTATTTAGAGTGTCCAGTCTTTATTCTTTTCAGGAGCCTCACTTTCAGTTCCTCAAAGAATCTGCAGACACACCTCCAAAGTTCAGTCTTAGAAGCTGGTTGATCATTTTCTGAAGTAATCAAACACATTCAGTGGTGTTGAGGTCTGGACTCTGGGGTGGTCAGTCCATCGTTCAGCTTCTTTGTTTGATGTGTCCGTCTCCTTTTCTCAGTGAGGTTCTTCTTGATCAGCTACACATCCTTTCAGACCCACAGTGCTGAGTCGTCTTCTCACAGTGGAAGGATGGACAGAAACACCTGTGGATGTTTTCAGATCTGAAGCAGCTTGATTTTCTCCTCTCTCTCAGAGATGAAAGCTTTAAGTGCTGTTTGTCTGATATATCTATATTTCAAACAACACAACTGGGTGATATAATTATCATTATTATTTTTTTTTAATACCTAAAACTGTTTACTGCAGTGTTTCACATCCTTGGTCCTGGATGCACACTGCCCTGCACATTTTAGTCTTTTCTCTGCTGTAAACCCATTTAAACCCAGTCAGGGGTTGTTAATGAGCTAATTAATTGTACTTTGTTCTGGGAGGAGGGAAAACTGTAAAGTGTGCAGGACCCAGAAACCCTAGTTTACAAATAACATGATCTGTTTTTTTAACGGGCCAAACTGGCATTTTAAACTCACAAATGAAAAATCAGTTTCCTAATTGAACATCACAAAAAAACTGCTACACTGAAACTTAGAAGCAACTGGCCGTTCAGCATGATGAGTCATGCCTACTTACGCTGTGACATGTTTGGATACAGTGGTGTGAAAAAGTGTTTGCCCCCTTCCTGATTTCTTATTCTTTTGCATGTTTGTCACACTTAAATGTTTCAGATCACCAAACAAATTTAAATATTAGACAAAGATAACACAAGTAAACACAAAATGCAGTTTATAAATGAAGATCTTTATTATTAAGGGAAAAAGAAATCCAAACCTACAGGACCCTGTGTGAAACAGTGATTCTCAATCAAGAAATCATTTAAACAGGACCTGCCTGACAAAGTGAAGTAGACCAAAAGATCCTCAAAAGCTGGACATCGTGCTGCGATCCAAAGAAATTCAGGAACAAATGAGAAACAAAGTAATTGAGATCTATCAGTCTGGAAAAGGTTAGAAAGCCATTTCTAAAGCTTCGGGACTCCAGAGAACCACAGTGAGAGCCATTATCCACAAATGGGGAAAACATGGAACAGTGGTGAACCTTCCTAGGAGTTGCCAACCAAAATTACCCCAAGAGCGCAGTGATGACTCATCAAGGGGTCACAAAAGACCCCACAACAACATCCAAAGAACTGCAGGCCTCACTTGCCTCAGTTAAGGTCAGTGTTCATGACTCCACCATAAGAAAGAGACTGGGCAAAAATGGCCTGCATGGCAGAGTTCCAAGACGAAAACCACTGCTGAGTAAAAAGAACATAAAGGCTCGTCTCAGTTTTGCCATCTTGATGATCCCCAAGAC